TTTTATTTGTTCTCTACTCTACTCTACTCTACTCTACTCTACTCTACTCTGTGGTGGTCTCTCATGAAAAGAAGACACAACGCAGGGTTGTCTCGGGATGAGAGCTCAGAGCAAACTCTGAAACCCTCTTTTATTAGAAGCAATCTTTGTTAACATAGCAATTTTTGTTAGCGTCCTATCACAAACGTATTACACCACACAAAATGCACTGATCATTCACATAAGCACACAAAGCTGCAAAGTTTAAGTTTGCTACAGTTCTGGGTAAGAAATGGCAACAATTTGTCCTTGCTCCTTGCTTTGTGTTGCAGCCAACCACCAGAAGGCTCCGTTGTCCTAGCACGTACACAAAGAACAAAGAATAATTCCCAATAACAATCTTTGTCAGGCACGTAGGCAAGAGTGCTGTGCATGCTGATGTTATCCACAGCGTTCGTGACTTCTTCAACCATCACAAACATCTTGTCCTCGTCTGGGTCGTCACAGGTTGGCTCTCCTATCTCATCTTCAGATGGCAGTGGTTCATATGTGTTAGTTATTTGTTGATTCCAGAGAGCCATTACCTGCGCAGTGGCTTTTTTCTCAGCCAAGAGGGATAAACTGTTAGAAATAGTGCATACAAAGATGGGTAATACACAAGGCAATACAACACATCCCGCAGCAATCATACCAATGAGCGCTACAATAGCTTGCAAGCCAGGCAATTTTGGGAACCAGGATCCAAACATGTCTCTAAAATAAAGACCATTCCATGTTTGTACAGGTACATGCGCAACCTTGATCATTCTATCAGTAATTTGTTGGATAACTTTTCCGCTATCATCTACCTCAATACAACAATTACTAAGGTTAAACTTTCCACACACTCCTCCTTCTTTGGCAAGAAGATAATCTAAAGCCAAGCGATTTTGCATAATATAAGTTCGTGAAAGCGCGCTTTCTTTTCCTGTAGATAAGATCTCTGCCAGCTGTGTGAGCCGCAGGTAACTCCTGCAGCGTCATTAGGACCTTGACCTTTGCTGATGGCAAGGCAAACATCAAAGCATACTGAGGTGTTGGTACCCCCCGAGTGACATTATGGGTTATGTACCCATTTTTTGTTTGACTGGTTGAGAACATTCCTGCAAGATCAGAACTGGAGCCACCTTTGTATGCATAGACATAGAGGGATGCTGTAACAGGTCCCACTGCCTTAGGCTCGTAGCACTGAATGCCTTCGGCAGTGTAACATCACGCATATTGAGTGTTGTTATGCAGACAAGGGGAGACCGTCGTGGAGTTGCACTCAGGCTTCAAAGTATGATAGATCAGGGTGGATTGGGTTGTCGTTCCGCTGCGAGTAGTTTTGATGCAGGCGTCGCAGGAGGATGGGGTGGCTGTCGTATCGGCAGGAACGATGTGGAAGCCCAGGAAGCAAATGATGAATGCAGCGGGCAGCTTCATGATGCTGATGTAGGCAAGGCTGGTTTGGGTAGAAAAGGCCTCACTTGTCGTCCGGGGACCCAGGTGGTGGTGTTGTTGTAGGAAACAGCCGCGTACCCTCGTCCCCAGGTTATAAGTTCAGCAGGCCCGTGCCATGTGGGATCTGGCAACTGTCGAAAGTAGACTGGAGGTCTAGGAGCATCCTTGGATGGAGAGCAAAAGTGTCGAGAGGCGGCAGAAGAAGCAGGTGTGTCAGTCTCATTCAGGAAATTCAGTGTAAATAAGCACAAGTTAAACTTGTTTTGCAGCGTGGGTAACCCTGGGGTGAGTTTCCCCATCGAGTTTTGAACTTTGTCAAGAGCATTCTTTAGGGTCAGATTGTTTCTTTCTACTATGGCCTGCCCTTGAGAATTATATGGAATGCCTAATTTGTGCAAAATGCCCCATTGTTCCCAGGCACGCAAATGACCGGATGCAGTGGTTAATGACATGTTTTGTGGTCTCTCCTCTTTGCGGGGAGGCCATGATGAACCCTGAGTATGTGTCCACTGAAACATGGATATATTTCCATGGTGCAAAAGGCGCATACTGGGTTACATCCATTTGCCAAATCTGGCAGGCTTTTAAGCCTCTGGGATTTACTCCCATTGGCAGGGCAGGGGCTTGCTTGCTGCAAGTAGGGCATTGTTGAATAATTGCAACAGCCTCTTGGGCAGTGATTTGGAATTCCTTCATAAGAGCCCTTTATTTTGATGAAAATAGTTATGACTGTCCCAAGGGGTTAGGGGAGAAAGAGAGAAAGCGGATAGAATAGTAGCAGCGGGTGCGGCTGAAGGATTTGATTAACATAGTATTGGCACATTGTGGGGCTGTTGAGCATGCCTTGAGGCAATACCTTCCATTGATATCGTTTAGTGGGATGAGAATTGTTAGGTTGGGGAATAGTAAAGGCAAAGAGTTTGCGGTCTTCCACATGAAGGGGGATGGAAAAGAAACAGTCCTTGAGGTCAATCGAAGGGGAAGAGGGTGAGTCATTCTAGCTGCAAGATTAGCAGGTACATCTGAATAAAATTGAATTTTTATAATATTTGTATAATCCTGATCAATAATCCCTGGAATCACAAAAACCCTTTCTTAGCTGAGGAACGAGGCAAGGCCAACTCTTCCAAAAAAGAGCAGCACCTCCCCCTGGGGCCCGGCATTGGGCTTTGAAATCCCCAGGCTTCCCACAATTGAAGCAATTCCCAGTAGGTTTAAGACCCTTTTGCAAAGCTACAGTCAAGGTCTCCATGTTATAAAATTGCAAACTCACTACAGCACAAGCTTTAATCAAATCTGCCAAGGTTGCCTCCCCCCGCGCGACCAAAGGCTGCAAAACTCGCTTACAATCTGTATTTGCATTTTCCACTGCCAATTTCATCAAGAGTTCTTTCGCAGCTTCTGAATTAGAAATTTGCTGCTGAATGGCATTTTGGAGCTTCTCAATGAAATCTGCATATGGCTCTGTAGCTGCTTGTTTGATTTGTGAAAAAGATTTAGTAGGCACTCCTGCCTCCTCCACTCGCCTCATAACAGCAGTCGTAACAACCGGGAAGCAGTAATCAGGCAAATTTATTGCCTGCTGCTCCACAGTTGCAAACTGCCCTGCCCCATAGATTTGATCAGGTATATACAAACCCCCTAAATTATTTCCTCTGTTAATTGCTTCTCTTTGATATTCTGCATCAAATACCATGTATTGTGTCCCGTTCAGAATCATTCTCATTAAGTCTTTCCAATCTTGTGGAATCATCTTTTGAGCTTGCCCCAGACTGTGAAGCAAACCCTGGACATATGGACTTTGTATGCCAAACTCCCTCACAGATTTCTTTACTTCCCGTAAAAGAGATAAAGGCAGTGGATTCCAGACAGCCTGTAAATTTCCTGTATTATCAACTTGCTTCTGAACTGGAAACAATTGCATGGAGTCAATCTCCTGCCCCTCCAGCTGTCCTGTTTGAAAAGTTGCTTGCATAGCTGCTTGAACTCTCCCAGCATGGGGTGTATTTATTTTAGGATTTCCCACCTTGACATCTCCTGATGGATTTTTAGGAGCTGTCGGGGGAGATTTACTGACCTCATTTGCCTCGGGGGGGGGGGGGGGGGGGGGG